TGAAGATACAGACAAAAGCATTTAGGCTGACTAACGATACTTTAGAGAGAGAGACATTACTTAGGAAAAACAAGCAGTACATTAAATAAACTGTACAGTGAACTTGCAATATATATTTATTGTGCATTAATTATGATGGAAAACTCATTGCATGCATGGTTATTATACTTTCACAATGCAGTTATTATTCACAATGCAGTTTAGAGCACATACATGTAACTAGAACTATAATTAAGAGCTTAATACCAAACTAGAACTATCTAACAGTAAAAATTTCAAGGAACTAGAACTAGGACTAACTATACTAAAAGCTATATGTAGGAACTATAACTAGAACTAACCCAATAAATTTTACACTAACAAGAACTAGAACTATTCTTATAACAGCCTAAAAAAGGAACTAGAGATAGAACTATTTGCAGTTTTGATAGAACTAAACTAGAACTAAAATTGAAAAAGCCATACTGGTCCAACAATAGCCTACACCAGCTGTATATAGCATATGGCAAGAGATACTAATGAATCACCAGAGTCAACCCTCAACTAAGTATACTTTGATTCTTTAGCATAGAATGCATCAGCTATACCTTGAATGTTTATGGATGAGCTTGAAGTTAATGATACTGCATTAGTCTCAAAAATAACATTTTGATGCTCACTGCTAAACTGTCTGTACATGTTAGTAGCAGCAGCAGAGCCTAAATTAAATTAATAATTACAAAAATTACAAAATACTATTGACTGACTCATTGATGAAGGAGGAGGTGATCTGTTGATGTAAATTATTATTGTAGGATCAATTCCAGTTAGTTCAATGGGACAGTGAAGTGGGTCCTTAGCAATACCAGGTTTAGCATACACTGATATATGAATACTGGAACACATATGATCATTTATAAACTCATCCACTACATATTGATGTATCTATAATAATAGGTAACAGCCATACTGTGTATTATACACATGTACACTGTACATACTTGCATTGGGGATTGGTCAGGATGTACAGTCCATCCTGATTCAAGTGATGGAGTATCTTGTAGACACAACTGAAGGATACCATCAGGTTCATTGTACTTGAATGGAACAATTGGACAATCTTGTTCAGCTTCAGGATGTTTATTCTCTAAATACTATAATTTCTAATTGAATGAAGTTTTCCAGAAATTACAATTACAATACATACCCTCCGAAGGACTTTTAAGTCTCTTACAACAGAAAATGTAGTCATCCATTCTGTCATCCATTCTGTAACTTCTTTCTTTTCATGATACATCATTCCAGTGTACAGTAGAGTGACTCCTGTATAAGAATTATAAATTAAAACATAATAACTGTGACATATACCTTTGTTTTCATTTGGTTTTTGTTTCACTTCATCTTCAGTTGATTCATTGCTAACATTAGATGCACCTAATAATACAAAACCTCATTATGAATGTACTTAATAAATTATACAATGCATACATACCAGAAGTAGACTCAACTTTCTGTACTTTTTGATTAGAGTCATCAGTTACTGATTCTATTATGAAAATGAAACTTTATACAACACAATTACAGTCACACATACCTTGACATAGTCCAGTATTTATTGGTGAGGCAGTTCTCTCACTAGTCTCTCCTGCTCCATTACCACTATCATTATGCGTGTCATCAGTTGATCCTATTATTGTACATTATTAATAATAAAACACTATTTCCTCCATCATACATGTACCTTCAGGTGGTGTCTCATAACCTTCCTCACTCTCACTGTCACTAGGTGTGTCTCCATTACTCATCTCAGCTACAATACCCATACAACTGAACTGCTCACGCTTTATTGATCCGTATCTTTTCCCAACTCTAAAACATCCTCCTTCAACTATACTCAACTGGTAAGGAGACTTCAGTGGAGCTCTCACAAACTTGAGGCAACCAGTCTGACTAGTCTTCCTTAGATCCACACAATGTTGTAGCTCTATTACCAGTGGTTTTAATAGTGCCTTAGATACTGATATTGCATATACTGCACTCACTAGCACAGTACCTTTGGGTACCTTGAAATTACCACCAGCTAGTGCAGTAACAGCTACTTCAGTATCCTTGGACACTGCTCCTTGAGGACACTCTAATCTGAATCCATATTTCTCCCACTGGAGTGAGTAAGACCTGTCTCCTTGTAGGATAAAGAGCTTCTGTCCAGCTATAATGACACTAGAGTCTAGTGAATCTGAAACAATACAGACACATCATATCTAATACCAGTATATAGTACACACACAATCATTCACATGTGCCATGTACATGTACATGTACATGTACATGAATAATTTACCCATTGAAGGGATCAGATAATTAAATTGTAGTCCAATGGAACTAATCTCTTTGATAGGTTGCTTGAGGACCATCTCTTGTCTTTCCTTCACTAGTTTGGCTATGAACAACTCCTTTTCTTTAAGGTCTATAAATTAATAGAATATTAATAATTATTATTGATTGATGATGATACACTAACCAGTAATGATCTGTTTCTCATTCTGTGATTGTTCCTCTACTTGTGATGTCAGTTTGGCTATAACTTTGTCTTTCTCAGCAATGTCAGTTTTCAGATTTTGATTGTCGTCTACACAATAAACATATTCTCTCATCTAATACATGCTGTATGTATAGTTAACTAACCAATAATGATCTGTTTCTCCTTGAGATATTGTTCCTCCATATCAGCTACTTTGAGTTTCAGTTTCTCATTTTCCTCTATACATTAATAGAATACTCTTTCATCTAATATTATGTACTGATGATACACTAACCAGTCACAATCTGTTTCTTCTTCTCTACTTGTGTCTTCTCTTCCAATAATTGAGCATCTTTAATTTTGAGCTTCTTATAACATTCTATTAAAATAATATTTGTTGCTTATACACATTTGCAATGCATGTATATACAGTAGCCCATTAATACATGTACTATGATTATTGCCGGCTAATCATACCATATATGGCAAGCAGAGCTCACACTACATGTTCTCATTATTTCTAATGCATGGACAATTTGACCTATATTGAGTACAGGATACTATTTCCATACTCAACATTCTCTAATCCACTAGTATTATAATGTAAACAATGTACACATAAACAACAGTACAACACAATAGTACCGAATTCAACTCTGAGTTGATTTATCAAGGAGAGTGGTAGCATCATCAAGTTGCTGACTAAAAAGTGTTGCCTCTTCTTGAAGAAGCTGTTGCTGCTCTTTGTCTCTATCTTGCTGTATCTGCTCCTTCTCTTTTACTTCTCTTTGAAGCTGTTCCTCATAGAATGGACCTTATTCAATGAAAATTTTCTAATTAACGCGCACCTGAGTTGGTGGTAAAATGGCGGATTTTTGTAGGAAAGACAGGCTGAGCAATCTTCTCTTTTTATCCAGCCATTCTAGCTGTGAGAACCACTTTGAGCTGTCCTTTTGTTTCAGTATACTCTATTTATTTCTTCTGTAAGCTCATTGGTTGCTGTTCTGGCTTTTATCATAGGAATATTCTTACTCATTGGCAATTCCCGTTTTTCTAAATTTTGCTTTCAGGAGCCAGGGCGCTTGCCCCTCCATTGCTAT